ACTTGGCTCAGAATGTGTTTTAACCTTGTTTAACAGGTTTCCAGGTTTTATAAATCAGATAAATGTAATTAAGGAAAGGGACAATAAGTCTGTAAAGAAACTGGATAATTAAAATCATGAACATTGGGTTTTATTTCAAGGTGAATTAACATCCTTTATAACCACTGACCATGATCTATAGTCCACAAAACAACATTGTTAACTTGAAATACACAGCTGTCCTCTTTAAAGTTTGACACTATCCAACGATATTCTCAGCTTAAGCTGGCTTCACACACCAGACAATTCTCAAATCTGAAGATTTTAAAAATGTTGGAGACCATTTTTAATATTATAATCCTCTGACCGCACACACTAGATGACTTTGACCCGACCGGGAGACCACACACCTGCAGTTTTTAAGTAACGATCTCACAGAAACTCGTGTGATCAAATGTGACAGAAGAAGAAGAAGTTTTGCAGCTAGAAAATGAGAAAATGGGGAAAACAATGCGGATTAAATCCTGGTTTAGAAACCAGATTATGTGCGGCCTTATACTATTTGAAGTTGTCAGAGAATTCAACATCCGGCTGGTGACCCGTTGAAGTCTGCTCGCTGTCTTTGGATGCTGCAGGTCTGACCTGAAATCGATTCTACATCAGGGGGGGCTCCGACTAGATGGGTACCAGTAAAATAATCATAATGGCACCAAAAACTTTCAGAGTATTCATTAGACAATTAATCGGTTGTGACAAACTGAGAATTAGACCACGCCCCCCCCGGTCGTTGAAGGATGCAAATCGGGCCTTAAACCTGCTCGTGTGTAGCCAGCTTTAGAAGTGGTTTAATGTCGGCCGCATGTCCCTCTGGAGTCTCATCATGTTTTGTCTTTGCAATTGAGTGATCAACAAGGAAGCAGTGGAAAAGATTAGGATTTAAGATTCCCTGTTTTTTTGCAGGATTTGCAACATGAGTAAATGTCACCGTTTTATAAGAGCTATTGAGCAAACCAGCCTGAGTGTGACATCAGAGGAACATGATGAGCGGAGAGCGCCCTCGTTTTCAGTTTACCACAAACGTTTGACACAAAAAAACAAGCAGAAGAAAAATGATCAGACGTCCGTGTTCTTGGTCCAGTAGAGCTTTAATGAACAGACAGTTACGCCAGTGTTACATTAGACACCAAGAGGCCGAAGGGGAGTAAATGCCGATACAAATTTCTCACTAGTCTAATACGTCCTACAGGTAGAATAAATTATACTATGGCAACATACACACATGCCGAACAGAAAGCAGAACAAAAACAAGCAGAGGAAAAAGGACCAAGAGGTAAACAGAGGGGGGGGAAGGGGGCCGGGCTTAGTGAGCATATCTGTACATTTGATCCTTAATGCTCTCCTTGGTTTTGCAGTCATTGAAAAAATATATATACACAAGGTAGAAGGTTAAAACACAGCCGGCATCCAAAGAGTTAACGCGGCTCTCGTGAAGGTGCAGAGGAATTCTAAAAAAAGCCTCTGTGTCGGACGCCGCCTTCATTATAGGTACACGAGGACACCAGCATCCCGTGGGAGTGAAGAGGAACGTAACCAACATGGCGTCATCTTTAAGTATCAGGAATTCAACATCGAGCGAGTCTCTGGAATGACGTTAAATACACAAAAGAAAAAACAAAGACAAAAAGATAACTTAAAAAAGTCGACGCATGTTCTGATTGTTTAAGTTTGCATGGAATGAAACGTCGGGGGCGAGCGACTCTCTGTTTGGTCTCCTGCAGCATGTTAAGCTAAAAAAAGTGTTTCTCTACGCTGGCGTCTTTGTCAGCGGCGTCGCTCCGGTCCTGAGCAGAGATTAAAGGTTCCCCCCGTTGAGATCCTGGAGGAGTGGAGAGAGGAGGAGCTTCCCCCTTTAGGTCGAAAACGGTGGGTTAAAGTGAAGAACATCCCGTCTGTCTGTCATTGCAACACAACCTGACAAACAGAGACTTTAAAGGAGCTCAGCTAGTTTGTAGTTTGAAACCAGAAAGCCAAAGGTAATTTTTTTTTTGAGAAATCAAAGGTCACAAATGAATCTTTAAATAAACTTCTAATACATTTGTTTTGGCCCATGTCGTGACTCTCTGATCTATAAAATATGTTTAAATAAAGGCCTGGAATTAAATGCAGACTGCTTCTATTATTAAGACTGTGAAGATTCTTAAATGTTGATTTTGTGCAACACTTTCTTACCGTGCAGCTTTGTTAGCTTGATTATACTTTTAAATTATGATCATGTAGTTTCCCATTTAGCCTCTTTTTTTTGGACAACGTGCCTTTGTAGTCGAGTGATGAAGCATGACAAACATGAAAGTTTGTTTAAAAAGACATCTCTGTTAATAAAGGATCTTTTATACTGCATCAGAGCGCCTCAGACTTCCAGTTTAGACGGCCTTTCTTCACAACAAACTTTGTCTGTAATCATTTATTCATGAGCTGTTTGACTTCTGTCCCCTGTTCTTGAAGAGATTCTGATTTTGACACTTTTTTTTTTGACTCGGTGCAGCGCTCGCTTCAACCTGTTGTTCTTGGTTTTTCAGGAAAAAGCTTGATTCCTGTTAATTAGAACTAAAGCACAAGGACGTTGGTTTCATCTGTGTGACTGAAGACCTTTTCAGAAAGCTTTTTCTGCTATAACGAAGCTCTGTGGTCATCACGTCTGTGTGCATTCATATTGAATCTGCACGGCACACACAGCGATGCGCTACCCCGCTTAAACCGTCTCACTTCTGTTACTACCTCCAAATACGGATCAGAGGGGGGATCACTTGAACCCACAACCCCAGTCGTATTTTCAGTGTTGGCCATGTTCTAATCATTTTTCAGATTGACTGCGTCGATTATTAAGTCCCGAAATCCTCCAGATGATAGTACATATATTTTGAATGTTTCTCCTTACATAGACCGGGTTGAACCAACCGCTGCAAAATGATTTAAAGAAATGCTGTTTGATAAAAAGTTTGAAATTCAGTCTTTGACGTCTCGACCTGATTTCAACGTTTAAATCTGGGCTCGTGCTCTCTGATTTGGTTTTTATGCTGAATTTCAAATCTGCTCCTCAGGATCCATAAAGTCCGGTGTTTTTTTTCCACCGCTTGCAAAAGTTCACATGCTTCGTTCTGCGTCACTTGACTTCACCGGCACGTTAAAACAACAAGTCAGCGTCCAATGATTGAGCTAGAGGGGAAACTGGACTTCATTAACTCCCATCTCATTAAATATACTCATTAAAAAGTTAAACACATAAAGACCTCTCTCTAATATACACCTGGTTCATATAAAGGCTGGGGGCTCTTTGCACTGGGGGCAAATTAAATCTACTATTTGATAATTTACATTATCTTCATTTTACTGGTACAAAACAGAGTCAGTGAACACAACACGCTTCCTCCCAGTTCACCAGGGCTGACACCGCTGGGTGGGAACTGTAGCAAACTGCTGTGACATGGGCAAATCATGACAGGAATACACTGAGGGTAAACATTAGTCAGGTAAGTCTGTAAGTCCTTATTCAAAGACTTACAGGTGAATATTAATGTTGGCTCGTCATCGTGCTGTCCAGCGCTTGTTATAATCAGGAAATGGAAATATGGAGACATGAAATCATCTGGAATGTAAAAGGATAAGAAGTGGTCCTAAGCTGTCCGGAGTAAAAGTCCGTCTCCATGGCAACGGTGGGGGAAGCGGCCGTCCCGCTGGATGTCAGCTGCTCAGTCAGGAGCTTGTCTGACCTCCAACTCTGTCCCAAAGCTCTTCAGGAGGTCTTGTTGTTGATAAGCGGGACTGCACCGTCAGAGCGGGGGCGTCTCTTCAGGAGTGGCTGAAGCGGTCCGTATCAGTCTGCTGCAGAGGTTTTTATCTCCCTCACAAACTCACACACTCACATCCACACATGGGTACCTGCAACCTGCAAGCTTTTTAAGCTGCCAATATTTTGTGCTGATATTCAGAATCTAGAAAGTTTACAAGAAATAGAAAGTGTACGGGGTTACCCTGATGCTTTCTGTGTCTCAAGGTGAAAAACTGTTTAGAAAACTGTTTGACAGGATTTACCTGTTTTTTTTTGGTCGGTTTTGAATTTCACACCGATCTGTGATGATTTGTGCGGTCTGAAGTACAACACGCGTAGCTGTGAGGTAGCGTCCACGAGCCGGATTCAAATCATTCACACTCGAAACAAAAAAATAAATATGTCAGCGTAACAACATCATGAAACTGAAATCTCTGGAGTGTCAGCCTCACATGTGAACTGGTTCAAGTGCCCCAAACCACAAACTGCAAACACCAAAGTGGCTGCAGTTTGTTTTTTGTTTAGGCACAAAAAAAACTTTGTTACATCGAGGAAAAATACAGTTTTGGTCATTCAGGAAATTTTTTAAAGAAGGGAATTTAGTCATGTTTCACACTTGGCATATCTCAAGTCAATTAAAGTGATTTAATTCTTACACCGGTTCTGCAAAGGACTTTAGTCTCTATGTGGAAAGCTTGTTTAAAGGCTTTATATGCATGTTAAGGAAGGAGAACTCAGACTAAGAGAGACAGAATATGTACGTTATCCACAGATTGGAAAATATGAAATGATAATAACAGTAACAATAATAACCTTTAAAGGCTTTATATGCGTTATTTTTTGATCCAGCAGATGTCGCCCTTGAGCACCAGCATGAAACCAAAACAACTTGCGGTGCATTGTTGTGCTAGCATGCTAATGCTAGCGATCTTTATTATGCTCGTATCTTCACACTGCATGTAAATTTACCTGAAATGAGCGTGATCTAGAAACACAGTTAATCAGTGAGTACAGTATGTTATTCTTCTTTTCTCTAGTCCCTCAATTAAACAACTTTTATACACGAGGGGAGGAGTCAGCCGGCCGTCCAGGCGATGTAAACAAAGTGAAGATAGGACTCTGAAAACTCTGAAAGCATCACAGACAGTGGGACTCAGGTGTTAGACCCATTGTAGACAGTCATGACTCACAGAGT